CTGTAAAGCCTGAGTGGAAATTTTAAATTACCTGGAAATTGGGAGGCTGACTGGAGGCAAAAGAGAATGACTAGGGGTTGAATGAATGAAGCATATTCTGAGGATGTTTGTGTTCAGAGGGAGAGGCACCCGAAAGGGGTTCTAAAAGTGAAGCAGAGCCTTGTTATTATAAGGCTCAGTGGATCAAAGTTTGGTCAGGAACTAAGTTTGATTACTGCGGAGACAGAATGCGCCTGTTGCAGCAAATAGACTAAAGAATTAGCAAGACAGGTGATAAGTCTGAGAGAAAGGGAAAACTGGATTGAGCCAGTTTTTCCTGTGTCCTGGGGAGGAGCGAGGGTCTAATGACTAAACTCAAGGAAGGGAGTGAGAGATAGGAGAGCCTCATGTGTTGCAATCCCACTTAATAGCTGTGGGCTCTTGGGCTAGGTACTTGACCCCCTTTAGCCTCTTTTCCCAGTTTCAGACTAGGGCTAACAACATCTTCTCAGAATTAGTAAGCATTAAATGAGATCATGGATAAAAGATTTTTACTATAGTAATTGGCACACACAGTAGGTGCGTAACAAATGTTAGCTCGCTCATTTCCTTGACTCCAGTGCTCTTAGAAGGCCAGCATGGGAGATAGCCAGCCGCATCACAGCAGGTAATCAGAGAAGGGGCTGATAATCCCTGGACTAACTGATGGAGTCTTGAAATGAGTCAGACAGAGACAGAAACAATAAGACAGAATGACAGTGTACTTGCAACACAAGCCAGAGAGAGCACACAGACAAAAAGTATTACCTGTGTCAATGTCACAGTGCAACTTAGAGACAACCCTATGGGAGAGTTTTCTGAAGCATTTCTTGAAGATTTGTGTTCATGGTGAGGGGTGTTAAATAATAGAAGGTGCAAAAATCCTTTCTGAAACTTGATGGGATTTTCAACCAGTTGGACCTTTTCAAAGGAAAGTGTTTGGACAAGATGATGGACTATTTAAGCCTCTTAGATTTAGTCCTTTCAGTTTTTAGCCTAGCTCTGGAACATAGGTTTATAAGTGGCTTTGTTCAGGGAGTGACTTCAGGTGCTTTCTGAAAGAAAGAAATGGGAGGCTCTAAAATCAGTGTTTAAGGGGATATATACATACACACACACACACACACACACACACACACACACAGAATCATGATTATCCTTGGAAAGTACCTAATTCAAAAGTCAGCAACTAGCTAAAAGAATAAAAAGATCTCAAAGAGATAGTTATACACTCATGTTCATAGTAATATGAATAGCCAAGAGTGTCAAATGTCCATAACTGGATGAATACATAAACAAAATGTATATATTCAGCCGTCAGAAAAGCCACAACGTATTTTTTTCTATGCAAGAATGTGTCATGACTTTTCAGACAACCTAATATATTCAACAGAATATACGCAACCTTTTAAAAAAAGGAAATTCAGACACATACAACATTATGTATAACCTGAGGACATTTTGCTATTTGAAATCAGCCAGTAACAAAAATACAAATGCTATATTATTATTCTTACATGAATATGAAAACTGATAGAGACAGAAGGTGGAATAATGGTTGTCAGGGACCGCCAGAAAGGGAGTTGTTGCTTAGTAAGTATAGAGTTTCAGTTTTGCAAGATGAAAAGGAGTTCAGAAGACTGAGTACACAACATAATAAGCGTATTTTATACTATTGAATTATATACTGAAACATGGTTAAGAGAGTAAATTTTCTGTTATGTGTGTTTAACCACAGAAAAGTCAACAATTAGTTTCTTGCATTTTCCTTTGTGCATTTAACTTATAGAAATTCAACTATAGGAGGGCCGTCAGGTGGCATGGTGGTTAAGGTGCTGGACCCTCACATGGCCAGCCATGGTTCAAGTCTCAAACCTGGCAGCTTGCTCTCTCACTTTCTCTCCTTCTCTCATCAAATTAAATAATAACAAATAAAGTTAAATAAATAAATAAATAGTAAAAAAAAAAAAAAGAGTTTCAACTATAGATGACTTACCTTCCTATCCCTTTCTTCGTTCAAACCAAACCTTTGTCTCCAAGTAAAGGGCTTAACCTGCTCTTTTTTTAAAAAAAAAAAAAAAAAAAAACAAAAAACTTGGGAACCAGCAGTTAGCATAATGGCTATGTCGCTGGACTCCCATGTAGTCGACTGTGGTTTGCGTCCCGGACCCGGTGGCTTAAAACTCACGCCGGGCGCGTGTGCATGCATGCCCAAGATCCTGAGAGGAGAATGGGGGAGAAGGGATTGTGGCGTGACCATCCCCCCTGGGGGGTAATTTCTTGCTTTCTGTCTCTATGTCTCTCTCTGGCTGTCTGGCAAGCGCACGCACCCTATAGCGAAAATCTCTCAAAAAAAACCCCCCAAAACAACTTAAACTTTTTTTTTCAAATACAAGCATCTGTACATGGATTTATAGTGTTTCACTATATCTCTTATTCTTTTCTTACTCATCATATTTTATAGTTGAGGCAATGAAGATCCCATTGAGAAGCAGGAAGAAAATTTTGGCTCCTCAACTACACATGGTACTTAACTGTCACAGAAAATATTAGATCACCTGGAAAGTTTTGACATATTTTTCTACACGAAAATGTGCCATGACTTTCCCAACGACCCAATATTTATACATGCATGAACTAATGAAGTAAATTATGAGAGCGCTCACACTTCTACTCTTGAACAATGAACACAAACATACAAAACACATTTGTGGTAACTCAGAATATATGATGTTTTGGGTAGAGTTGAATAAAAGGTACATTTGCATCACCCATAAGAATGGGTAAGCATTCTCTAAGCAATGTAGTAGTCATAGTTTAAATAAAAAGGCAGAGGGAACTGACCAGTCTTTGAGAACTCTAACTCTGGCTCTTATAAATTTTGGTTCACAATTAATATCCTGTCTTTAAATGAATCTTTCATACCTCTAAATACTTTTAGGAAACAAATTGTTAGTTCCATTTAAGTTATATGCAGTTGAAAGACAAAAGGAGTTTCATATACTGTGATGTTTTTAATCTCCTCAAAGCACCCAACAGTGCTTTGCTCCTAGGAAGTAGTCAATAAATGGTTATTGAATTTACAATGTCCTTCTTTCTAATCAGTGAGGTTTAATATGTTTCCAATTCAGAATGCCTATTAATTTTTCAGCATTACTAAGCCTTTAAAGAAATCCATTTGGGGATGGGTTTAAGACTCCACAGCAAATAAGAGTTTTATAAATGATTAAGAGAAAACTGTTAAATGAAGCATGCTTATTCAATACACCAGTAGCCATTGATAAAATGTAATTTAATTTAATCATTTAAATTTACATTGTTAATGTACAAGAGCATTTCTTTCAAACCACATGTTAACACACACTAAAGAGCAATGCTGTTAGAGATGCAGAGAAATTGGAAAACTCTGCTGTCTGAAATAAAAGCAAGGCACTCTCCTTTAACAGCTGGTAGATTCCTGATTTCTGCCCCCAGAAGGCATGGTCACACTGAGAGAGCTCTCCCACAAGGGGAAGAATCACCTGCTTTGATACTTCTTATCCTCTTCTGAGCTAGTGTGGTCATCCACTCTGTATAAACTGTGTGTCAACATTAAGACAAAAAAGAGTGTTGAAGTAATAGATGACTTGGGAGGCTCACATAGTTTTAATAACTATGGAAGACAGAAGAACACTGGCTATACCCTTTATTTTCAGCACTAGTGTCTGGACATATAACTAAAAAAGCTTCTTCCTTTCTTTCCATTCAGATATGATGGCTGAAAGTCTTTTCCTTAACTCAGATGGATGTAAAAATAAAAATAACAGCATTTCCCTAGGGCTTTGTTTTATGTTTTGTTTTACTTTTCCTTTACAGACACAACAGAAACAAGGATTAACTTTCCAAATACTAATGGTGCACAAGAAGGTTATGTATGCACAGTATTTATAATTTATTCAAATTCAACTTGAATTTGGTCTGAAGCTATCTTGTATGAAATGTTAGCTTTCCTGATATTTAATAATGTTTATTATGTTTGCATATAAGCTCATAAAATTAATGCAAAAATACTAATTTAGTCATAGTTATCCTCAGGTAAAGTGTAAATATTAGTGGTTATGTTTAAAATCTTGTTTTCCTATAGATGCAGTGAGTTGAGGGAAAAATAAAAGATTACTAGCTGTTTGACCTTAGGTAACTCTTTACCCTTCAGTGGGCACCAGTTTTCACCTCTATGAATTTCAGAGAGTTGGACTAGGTCCTTTCCAAGTCTTTAAAATCCTAACATTCCAGGTTCTATCATCTTGATATAAAAATAATAATCTTTCATAAAAGCTCACACAAACATAAAACATGATCAAATATCAGAATGACTTTTGGGGAAAAAAAGTATGTGATTTGCTATCTGGATTATATTTGCAGCAGTTAGGCAATTCATTTGGCATTTGTTTGATTGTATAATTTAATGACAATATAAACAGCATAGTTTTTGTTATTTTTGTTTTAAAAAGACTAAAGCAAAAATGATTTAAAGCTAACAAAAATTACTGTGACATCAGTTTGACATTCAAAGTTTGTTTCTTAGCAAAAGGGCCAAAGATATTTTGACTTGATACAGAATATATAATATAAAGACTTTTAGACCTAAAAATCTTCAAACATTATTTGAATTTAGCAAAACATAAGCAAAATTTTAATATCAAAGTGCTAAACAGTACTGCCTTAAAAGTCACTGCAAATGAACCATAAAATAACGGCATGGGAAGTGACATTTATTGTACAAATGGTTAATAAAAAGACACATTATAAATATATATATGTAACCTGCTATATTTATATATATATATATATATATTTGCTTATTTAATTTTAAAGAATTTTCAACTTTATTTATTTATTTATTTGTTATTTGACTGGAGAGGGACAGTATGAGAGAGAGAGAGAGGGAAAGTAAGAAAGCAAGTCACTGGGTCCAGGACTCAAACCATGGTCAGCCATATTTTCTAATTGGTGTAACAAAGTCACTATGAACACCCCATTTAATTACTCTGTAAATCAGCGTCCAGGAGCTATTGGTCTTGCAATAAATACAGGCAAAGCTATTACAATATAATGTGCATACAAATGTTTATACAAATAAAGACACTATGCAACAAATTATTTCATAATAATATGGCATTAACAGTATAAACATACAAAAGGGAGTACGAACACGGAATGTTGAAACGTAGCCCACTTTCTAGTACTCACATTCATACTATTTTGTTTTTTTTTTTATAAAAAGACTTGCTTGCTTTCCAAAATTGTCTCTTTAACCAATAACAAAAATTAAATGATATATATAAAAATCCTTATTATCCCTGGTGCTTACCCTGTATGACCCAATTCCTGTTTATTTGCATGTTCTCATATAGGGATCAAATATTTGACTGATTCACTGAAGGCTTCTAAATAAGTGATCAGTCAGCCACTACAACTGAAGCAAGTTTAGGGAACTCTGGCAGGTTGATAGAATACAACAATACAGTTGTGTACAATTCTTTAATAATATGATCCCCTTTCAGGACAGCTAGACAGTCAGGGCAGGGGTCTGTTTTCACCAAGAATGGCCTAAAAGTCTTGGATGGGCCACACCTCAGAAGCGTTCTACAGGGCAGGTAGACCAAACCTCAGATAGGAATATTGGCATGTGTCATTTGCTAACATGACTGCCTCCTTTTTATTTCCATATAAAATAAAGGAGAGTCAATACACAAGACTTAGTAAGACAGCACTTTTAAAAAATTGCACTTGTATATGGAAGCAAAGAGCCATATTTTGCTATGTCTGATTTGTAGGCAATCTTCCATCTTTCACCCTTTGTTAAAGTAAAATAAAGGAAGAAAGAAATTAATAAACGGGAATTTCTGCCTTGTTTGCACCACATATGTACCTTTGACACGAGTGTATTCTAACCGGATCAATCTTAAGACATATCCTACTCTGGCGAACAACCCTTGGCTATTCTTGTTTTTAAATACAAAGCAACAATAATTATATTTCCCAGAAAGAGTTTTAAAACAGTTATATTACCTTTTTTTTTTCCCTACTGCTGGGATAGCATCGTCCAAAAGTGCCTTGTTAGCAATTTCTTCAAAAACCTTCATGAACCTATACCCCCTCCCATCCTACTCCCCAAAAGCCTAAATATAAAACACAACCCCAACACAATACTCTGCAAATTTTCTGGCTTTAGATTGTAAAGAAAACCGCCAGAAAAAAAGCTTTTGCTTTCTATAGGAGCTACTTTTTTTCTTAAGGAAGGACAGAAAATGGTAGATGTCCAGACCCATCCCTTTGCTGCTCAACAAACAGGTGCTAGCAAGGGAGGTGGCTCCTTGCTCAGACTGGGAGCACTTAGAAAGGTAGGGTGTCCAGGAAGAGCTTGTCGATGATGGAAGGTGGAGACACCAAGTCTTCCAGCTTCAGGTAGAAAATGCGCTGGAGGCCCAGGGTGCAGATCTTCCTCAGTTCTACCAGGGCACCCAGGACCTTGGGCTCGGTGGGCTCCAGGGTCTGTCCCTTGCTCTGGTGGTCTTTTAAGCTGCTCGTGATCTTGTTGCATAGCTCCTCCACTCTCTTTGGTTCTTTTAACCCATGTCGTTCTACAAAGGGAGAAAAGAAAGCACATTTAGGAGGTAGATGAATCTTATACTTTGAATCCCTAATTGAGGTCTTTATTCTGTTCTGCCAGCTGGGATGGCATTTTACAATCAAAGGGCTCTCCCTTTGAAAGTTAGTTCATGGCCTTTGGTATGAACTAGGATTGAGGAATAGCAGGCAGTTAAGGCACTGGACTCCCACATGTGACTGGTTCAAGCTCCAGACTCAGCAACTTGAAGATCACACTGGGCATGTGTGCATGTGTATGTGTGTGCCCAAAATCCTGAGGAGGGATTGGAGGAGTAGGGATTGCAGGATGGCCATTCCGCTAGGGGGGTGATTTCTCATATTCCCTCTCTCTGTCTCTCTTGGACTGGCATATGTGTCCTATGGCAAAAACCTAAAAACAAAAACAAAGGAAAAAAAAGCACCAGGTTTATTTGTTTATTTTGATTTCTAGAGGGCATGCATGCTAGCTGGAGAGAGAGAGAAAGACAGAGAGAGGGAAAGTGAGAAATCATCTCCTAGGAGGGATAGCCACGCCACAATCCTCCATTCATCTCTCAGGATTTTGGGCACATGTGCACATGTGCCCAGCATGTTTTTAGGCCACTGGTCTGGCATTTGAACTGTGCAGTTGGCCATATGGGATCCAGCCATCTTAAGCTCCATGACACCTGCTGGTCAACACCAGGGTTTAAATGACATTCCTGCCACTCACTTGCTGTGTGTGTGTGCCCTTGAGTAAGTGTCCCAACCTCTGAGCCCCCTTTCCTTATGAGATGAAGACAATGATCATAAGCAATTCTATGTTTCTGAGAGGGCCCACTTAGGTGAATAACACAAGAAACACACAATTCCTGGCACACAGAAACACAGTCACACTAAATGTGTGACAGGGTGGTTATTATTTTGCACACATTATCCCACTAAGGTCTTACAAAAGCCCTGTCAGTAGGCAGCTCTTTTCCAGAGTGACGCAGAAACACATCCAGGCAGATGAAATGCCCTTCCCATTCTGACAGGCTGACTTTAGGGAAGTGGTCTATTTGCTAATGCAAGGGCTGCTACACAAGACCCAGTACAAAGTGCATTCTTGTATTTTCATGCTAAGGAGATTCGGGAAGAATCCAGCTTTTCTTTTCCTGTTTTTATTTTCCACCCCTTGAAACACCCTATTGACCTACACCTGGCACTCTGCAAAATACACATGTCCTACTGTGAGATGAAAAAGTCAAAGAGAAGTGGAGGAGGCCCAGAAAGATGTGGTATGGGTATTTTATAAAGTATCAAGACATGACTATATTGTATATCTTACAAGACAATACATAAAACGATCCTTATGTTAAATATTATAGTCCAAGGTCCCTTCCAGTTCTGATATGTTATAATTAAAGTACAACCATGAAAATTGCCAGTAGTATCTCAGTGGACCGTAAGTTACAGGTGTCTAATCTCTGCACCATTCTATAGAGAAAAGGGCACCAGACTTGAACTTAGACCTGAATTTCAGTTCTGGTTTTGTCACTAGCCTGGTGGCCTAATCTCTTGAAGGCTTGATATCTTTCTTCTTAGGAAAATGATTACAGGGTGAGAGATACACAAGCCTTTGTTGTAGTCCTTCTGTGTGTCTTAAATATTCTACATCAAAATAGTTTTGGGGCCGACAGGTGGCATGGTGGATAAAGGAGCTGGACTCCCACATGGTATACCATGGTTCAAGTCCTGAATCTGGCAGCTTGCTTTTTCACTTTCCCTTTCTTTCCCTCTCTCTCTCTCTGGGCAAATTAAAAAATAATAATAACAAATGGAATAAAATAAATAATTCTTAAGAAAAAATAGTGTCATTATAATGAAACCCACCTCTTCATGGGTTGTTGTGAGGGTTGACTAGGATGATGTTACGTGAAAGTGTTCTGTCAGCTGTAGAGAGCTACACACATGGTATTGTTAGCACCTTGTGCCTGACATCTGGCAAGTGGTTGGAAACTACAGAGTCAAACAAAAGGCAATAAAGTCCCCTAATTCTTAAGCTTTGCACTGTCTGATTTTGCTTTCCTCAGAACTATGAACCAACATGGAAAAATGTTTATAACGTTAAAGAGTAGGGTATTAAATAGTTTCTATGGGGTGACTATATTTATGCACAAATTATTTCTGCATACAGAGGAGGATAAAAGGCAACAAATTTTGAGAATATTTATTAGCTTGTTAGATAACTTCTTTCTCCTTTTTACAATCTCCAGATTAATGCTGCTTGTATAATAATGTTAAAATAAACAAGATGAGATTTAGTCTTTTTGCAAAGACTTCTAGTAGCTATAACATGATCAAACATCATTTTGCTATGTCAAATTCTTTTTAATATACTTATTTCTTTTTATAATTATTCATTTTATTTTATTTATTTATTCATTTATTTTAATTTGACCAGAGAGAGACAGAGAGAGAGAGAAAGAGTGAGAAAGCAAGCTGCCAGGTCTGGGACTCAAATCGTGGTCAGCCATGTGGGAGTGTCCAGCACCTTAACCGCCACGCCACCTGCTGGTCCCAATATACTTATTTCTTCATCACACACACACACACTCACACACTCACAACAAGGCCGTCACACCATAATCTTCCCCCAGCTTCAGCCAGCCAGTATCATGGGCCTAGGTATGCACACACCCAGTGTGCACAGAGACTTTGGGATGTGAACCCAAGACCTTCCCATATTGCCTCAGCATCGCAGAGCATTGCATTACTGCTACTGGACTGATACTGAATTCTGTTAACGCTGAGATATATCAAACTGGAGTCATCATCTAAGGAGATGTGTTTTTCGCTGAATAAAATGCTGATAAATTGACTTAAGCTTTCCTTTCCATGCCTCATACCTTACATAATATTCACATTCCCATATTCATTACCAGGATAAAGAAACTGAGCAGTGTGTTGGCTGGCTTTCAGGAGGGGGTTGATTGTGGAACCTTGCTACCAGACTTTCTCATGGTTAAACTCAGAAGGTGCTGCAGAGTTTTCCCTGCTCTCCAACCAGTTGCGACTGCTCAATAACTATGGCAACCATTATTTATTCAGTGAATTCAAGTGGAGATCGATACCTCCTGCCAGCTGGATCAACCCTAGGCCTGGAATTCCTTGAGGAATTCAGAGACACTCCTGCTATAAGCCAAAGGCAACTCAACCCTTCTTTGTTGTTTTGAACAGCCACTGTATTTGTGACTTTTATACTTTTAAAAATGGGCTGAGATAAAATTCAGTTTCCATGCAAACTACCACAGCAGCCAGGAAGATTTTCAAATCACTAGGGAGTCACTAAGTGTCTGGGACCGTCCAAGTAATTTGAAATTCCTTAATACCCTAATCACTGACATTTTAGTTAAAGAGATCCCCTCTTCTTGCAGCTTGGTAAACATGGCTGATATATGGAGTTCATAAATTCTGGGGGAAATCAGTCATTTGGATTTTTCCCTTTCCTATAGAATTATACACAAAAGATTTAGTTTAATTTTTTAAGTCTAATTATTTTCTTTTTTAAAAAAATTAATTTTATTAATCATTATTATTATTATTATTTAGTTTTGACCAGAGAGAAACAGAGACAGAGAGATTGGGAAAGTGAAAAAGCAAACTACCAGATTCAGGACTCAAACCACGGTCAACCATGTGGGAGTCCAGTGCACTTAACCACCATGCCACCTGCTGACCCCCAGGAGACTAGTTTAAGATCTTTGTTCATTAAACCAGGCAAGCTTCTTGATATTTCTTGCATTTTGATCTATGTAATTTTGGTCCAGTACTTCAGTAATTTGACTCAGGTATTACATATGCAAAACATTAAAATCAGAAATAGTTAACTGATAGATATATATGCCATAATCATTGTATATATGAATTGGAAAGGATTGGAGCCATTTAGCTTAAATTTCCATCAAAGACAAGCTATCAGATGGATTTGGAGTTCACTATTTCACCCTAATAATAATAATACATTCAATAGCACTTTATATTACACTCTTTTACCTAGATTATTTATCTTACCCTTACAACAGTCCTGTGAATTAGGAAAGGCCAAGATGATCTTTAATTAATAGATAAGAAGGCTAATGACTTACAAATAGTCAAAATCAGCAAGTGGCTAATTTCTTCTATTTCAAGTCCAGTGATACTGTTGTTATAGTAGGCTGCCTTCCATTTTTGAACATCTCTAACTGTTAGAAAGTTCCTTCTAATTATAAGATGAACTCCCTATTACTCCCTCCTACTTTATATGTGTCTAATTACCTAACCGATTAATTACAACTTTGACAAATATTTATTGAGTATTCTGTAGCTAGCAATCATATCATCACTGGGGTTGGACAGGTGAACAAAATAGATATCACACAACTCTGTGTGGCACTAACATCTAAAGACACTGTTGGATTCTTGTACATATTAGCTATCAATGCCATGGACATCTCTGCTGAGAGAGAGAGAGAGAGAGAGAGGGAGAGAGAGAGAAGGTGAGGAGGAGGGGAAAGGAAAGGGGAGGTATGGAAAGGGGAAGAGATTTGAGTGAAATAATAGTTTATTGGATTTATGTTCATGTTTTTCCATTTTCACCTAGAAGATCTATTTATCTTTTAGATCTCTAATATTTCTTTAAGGAAACATCTTTTTTTACTCCTAGTCTAGACCACATTCTCCTATGATACTCTGTCCTTGCCTTTGCAGGACATCACAGGTTGAAAACAGACATTTACGTGACCACTTCCGCATCCTTTGTTGAATGTAAGCTCCATGGGGACGGGAGCTGTTGGCTCACCACTGTCTCTCCAGCCTCAAGCCTAGTACATAGGAGACACCCCATAAATGTTAAATGAATACATATATGGAAGATCAAGAATACCCAATAAACATGGGTTAAGTAAAAATATACATGTAGGATCAAGAACTTTGATTACTATTTAATCAAAAAGATCAAATAAGTATTAAAGGTATAAGTATTAAGTTGTTC